CCCGATCATCATGTGGTGTCTCAGCACGAAGAACTTTCGCAACGGTGCATACTCATGAAGAACACTTCTCGATAATTATTGAGAGATCATCTTAAAATGCTACCGTCAGTCAAATCAAGATAAGATGCATAAAGGATAAACATCACATGCAATCATTATAAGTGATATGATATGGCCATCATCATCTTGTGCTTGTGATCTCCATCTTCGAAGCACCGTCGTGATCACCATCGTCACCGGAGCGACACCTTGATCTCCATCGTAGCATCATTGTCGTTACGCCATCTATTGCTTCTACGACTATCGCTACCACTTAGTGATAAAGTAAAGCAATTACAGGGCGTTTGTATTTCATACAATAAAGCGACAACCATATGGCTCCTGCCAGTTGCCGATAACTTCGGTTACAAAACATGATCATCTCATACAATAAAATATAGCATCACGTCTTGACCATGTCACATCACAACATGCCCTGCAAAAACAAGTTAGACGTCCTTTATTTTGTTGTTGCAAATTTTATGTGACTGCTACGGGCTGAGCAAGAACTGTTCTTACCTACGCATCAAAACCACAACGATAGTTTGTCAAGTTAGTGCTATTTTAACCTTCGCAAGGACTGGGCGTAGACACACTCAGTTCAACTAAAGTTGGAGAAATAGACACCCGCTAGTCACATGTGTGCAAAGCACGACGGTAAAACCAGTCTCGCGTAAGCGTATGCGTAATGTCGGTCCGGGCCACTTCATCCAACAATACCGCTGAACCAAAGTATGACATATGCTGGTAAGCAGTATGACTTGTATCGCCCACAACACACTTGTGTTCTACTCGTGCATATAACATCTACGCATAAAACCAGGCTCGGATGCCACTGTTGGGGAACGTAGTAATTTCAAAAAAATTCCTACGCACACGCAAGATCATGGTGATGCATAGCAACGAGAGGGGAGAGTGTTGTCCACGTACCCTCGTAGACCGAAAGCGGAAGCGTTAGAACAACGCGGTTGATGTAGTCGTACGTCTTCACGATCCGACCGATCCAAGTACCGAACGTACATCACCTCCGAGTTCAGCACACGTTCAGCTCGATGACGATCCCCGGACTCCGATCCAGCAGGGTGTCGGGGAAGAGTTCTGTCAGCACGACGGCGTGGGGACAGTGATGATGTTCTACCGACACAGGGCTTCGCCTAAGCACCGCTACGATATGACCGAGGTGGAATATGGTGGAGGGGGGCACCGCACACGGCTAAGGAACGATCACGAAGATCAACTTGTGTTTCTTGGGATGCCCCCTGCCCCCGTATATAAAGGAGGGAGGGGGAGGTGCGGCCGGCCCCTAGGGGTGCGCCTGGAGGAGTCCTACTCCCACCGGGAGTAGGACTCCCCCCTCTTGCCTTGTTGGAGAAGGAAGGGGGAAGGGGGAAAGAGGAAAGGGGGGCGCCGCCCCCCCTTCCTTGTCCTATTCGGACTAGGGGGGGAGAGGGCACGCGGCCTGCCCTGGCCGGCCCTCCTCTTCTCCCTTAGGGTCCATGTAGGCCCATTAACCCCCGGGGGGGTTCCGGTAACCCCCCGGTACTCCGGTAAAATCCCGATTTCACCCGGAATGATTCCGATATCCAAATATAGGCTTCTAATATATCAATCTTTATGCCTCGACCATTTCGAGACTCCTCGTCATGTCCACGATCACATCCGGGACTCCGAACAACCTTCGGTACATCAAAAACTATAAACTCATAATATAACTGTCATCGTAACGTTAAGCGTGCGGACCCTACGGGTTCGAGAACTATGTAGACATGACCTAGAACAGTTTCCGGTCAATAACCAATAGCGGAACCTAGATGCTCATATTGGCTCCTACATATTCTACGAAGATGTTTATCGGTCAAACCGCATGACAACATACGTTGTTCCCTTTGTCATCGGTATGTTACTTGCCCGAGATTCGATCGTCGGTATCCAATACCTAGTTCAATCTCGTTACCGGCAAGTCTCTTTACTCGTTACGTAATGCATCATTCCGTAACTAACTCATTATCTACATTGCTTGCAAGGCTTATAGTAATGTGCATTACCGAGAGGGCCCAGAGATACCTCTCCGACAATCGGAGTGACAAAACCTAATCTCGAAATATGCCAACTCAACATGTACCTTTGGAGACACCTGTAGAGCTCCTTTATAATCACCCAGTTACGTTGTGACATTTGGTAGCACACAAAGTGTTCCTCTGGTAAATGAGAGTTGCATAATCTCATAGTTATAGGAACTTTGTATAAGTCATGAATAAACCAATAGCAACATACTAAACGATCAAGTGCTAAGCTAATGGAATGGGTCAAGTCAATCACATCATTCTCCTAATGATGTGATCTCATTTAATCAAATGACAACACATGTCTATGGTTAGGAAACATAACCATCTTTGATTAATTAGCTAGTCAAGTAGAGGCATACTAGTGACATTAAGTTTTTCTATGTATTCACACATGTATCATGTTTCCGATTAATACAATTATAGTATGAATAATAAACATTTATCATGATATGAGGAAATAAATAATAATTTTATTATTGCTTCTAGGGCATATTTCCTTCATCCGATCAGCTCTATAGCTTGTCCGTACAAGTAGAATAAATTTTCAATAATTTATACCACCTGCTACGCTAGCTTGTCCTTTCTCGCATTTCATTTGTAAGTGGTCCTTTCTCGCACTTTCACTCGTAAGTGCTCCTTTCTAGCACTTCATTTGTCATGACTCGTAAGTGGTCTAAAACGTCAAAAATTCCAAGTAGAACCGGTCTATCATGTTCACTGTTGAAGAGTGTACCACTTGACATCTTTTTTTTATACAAGTTGTATGATTTGATGGACAAACAAACATGTTCGGCTAAGGGCATGGACACCACATCGCCTCTGCTAGCTGCCCCGCAGGCCATGTAGGTTCGGGTGTCAGGGACGGTGGCCTCACAGTCACAAGGTGTCGGGAAAGCGTGCGGAGGAGGCCGTAGCTTAAGCACGAGAGAGAGAAGAAAGTAGGGGGAACGAAAGTGAGAGGTAGATTGGGGCCCCGCTAGCTACTGCTGCTACGGCTGGGTGATAATGCTTCCATAGTTCATGCCTAAGTAAGTTTCGACAAAGAAAAAGGGAAACATGGGGGGGCATTGGCCCCATGCCTCAGTGATTGCCCCCGCCTACCAAAATATACTCTCACCTTTTGAGGAAATTAATTGATAATCTGGATCCTGGTACCTTTTCCATAGGTGCAAGCCGTCAGCAATTATCTCCTCGAGATTACAATATTAATTGAAATTTAGCAGACATACTTCATATTCAGTTACCCCTGTTTTCCCTACGTGTGGTCGGTCAAGTGCTTCATGGCTGGCCCCAATTGGGAGTAACATAGAGTAGTAACATACATGCCACGTAAGCATGTTACTACTCTATGTTACTACCTTCACAATGGGTGGTAACTTATGGGTGGTAACTTAGAGGGTTTATTTATTGCTTTTGTGGGATCTATAGTAGTACTTCAACTTTGTGATCTATATGTGGCATGTATCAACAAAACTTGTGTTTTCCGATACTTATGGATAAATAAAAGAACACAAATTTGGATCATAACAAATAATAAAGTATAATATTATATTATTGAAATATATAGAACATATTTAGCAATACATCGATCAAGACTTGGATATAATCTATTCGCGCCCAAACTTTCTCCATATATGCTCAATCAAATCATTTTTAAGAGCCTTATGCGTTGGACGATCACGAACTCTAACATCTCTTTCAAGTACCTCGGCAAATTCTGGTATGTCACCATGAGTAAATACCGAAGGAAGGGCAATCGATGAGCCTGCTTCATAATTCAAATCAAGAATATTTCCCGCCTCTTCTTGTTCATCATCGACTATCATGTTGTGTAGAATGATGCATGCCAACATAATATTATTGAGATCACCCCGTTCATATAAACGTGCCGGAAGCCGTAAAATAGACCATCACGCCTACAACACACCAAATGCACGTTCCACGTCCTTTCTTGCTCCCTCTTGATGTTTCGCAAACAACTTGTGCGGTTACTTGGTGTGGCAGTATTGTATAGAGCAGCAATGTCATCCCAAAACTGCTCAGACTTCTTTCCGTTCCCATCAATGGGATTGAGTGAACACTCCAGCCAAGCACCTGCCTACATTGTTCACAATTAATTCAGTTGAGGCCAACAACAAACAAGAAATTATATGCACACTAAACGGATTTGAGCAACGAATATCCTTACCAGTCTCTCATGTTCCTCGGGTGTATAGGGCAGACGATATGCGGTCCTTGCTCCCGATTCGTCGGCATCTACACTCTTGACCTTCCTTTTCTTTTTCTTTGAATCAACTTTGGTGGGAGCAGACTGAGATGAAACATTAGAGTGCGGTGGTGGCGGTGGTGTTGAAAAGGGATCATGTGGGGAAGCACCAACAAAGTGCAAATTCTCCATATTTTGGTATCCTTGTTCATGATGGTGCATTGGCTGAGGTTGAAAATTGTAAGGATTCATGGGCGGTACTTGTCCAAAACTTAGCAGGCCTTCAGGTGCAGAGGTATACATCGGCCTCCTGTTATATTGTAAATATCATAATTAAGAAGCATTGTCCAAAGCTTGCTATTAGAAACTTTTTTCTGTTCTAATCATTGCAAGAAAAAAGTACAAACAAACAAGCGAAGGACATCCAAGTTCAAGTGTCTGATATAGTAGTAAACCGTTTGCACAATAAGCACACAGACACACATCACGGGGTACTTGCATATCCTGCTACGTCCACAGCGAAATCCGATTCAACAAGCAAAAACCTGAAGAATTGCAATGGTCTAATGCTACAGAAATTAAGGCTAAGACTTCAGAGTCTCTCTGCTTCAACACGCACACATGCTGAATTAGGTACTCGAGCTATAGAAATTACAATTACCTAATGCTGCTCTATAACCCAAATAGAATTACATAATGCTGCATACTCGAGCTACAGAAATTGTAATTGCCAAAGATTGAATTAAAGCAGAAATTTTATACCATGTAGGGTTGGCTGAGGAGGATTCCATGAGAGGCGGGTATAGGTGTGGCGGTGTCGAGGGGCTGGCCGAGGATCTTGTCGGGGCGCCGGGGTAGAAGAGAAGCTGTGGAGAGCGGCTGGCGAACGAGCTTGCTGTGGCGCCGGGGGAGTGCTGCAGCGGCGGCGAGGTGGCCGATGGCCGGACTTGCGCGGCGTCCTTACGGGCACCGTACTTGGTCATGAATCTGGTGGCTTTGCGCCGCCTGCCAGAGCCGCCGCTGGCCGGCAAGACGGAGTGCGGGGCGCCGGAGCTCCAAGGCGGCAGGGAGGGAGAAGGATGAGGCCCAGCCGTGGAGGAAGAGAAAGTCACACGGGTGGGGATTTTCTTGGTTGCTTCGCGATGCGTCCGTCCGCCCGCACACAGGATCGATTAGCATTAATTTTTTCTCGTATGCAGCGCTATGTTACCGGAACTAGCTAAGTTCCTCCAAAGCTCTCTCTCTTCATTTAATCAATGCCACGTAGGAATTTTTGCTGAGTTGGACCCGAAGTTCTTGCTGAAGTTCTCTGCATTGGGGCCAGCCTCAATGGTGGTATGTAACTGTGACGAGTCAAAATAAATACAGAGTATTTAATTACTTGGTTGTAGTAGTTTTGGTTCTGGTCTCCTCCCTAGCCTCCAGAAATAAAGACATGTTACTATAGCCAGTACTGCAGCGACACTGGGTACTAGAATGGCTATTAGAACTCTGAGTTCTCTTATCTCTGCAACTATCTGCAGATAAATCCAAACCTGAAAAGTATCGACACAAGGAAATGTATATTAGGGAATCCCCAAATTGCGTGCTCCCAATATTTCAAAATACATGTC